TCCTTACTCACACAATAGATTCATGTACTGACAACTATCAGAAAACAACTACTTTCCTGGCTAATACCACCGAAGGCGTTGAATAATATTCGACAAATGTCAGTGCAAAATTCTTCACAGAAGAAATTCCTGCAGATGCTTTTGGCAATACAACTGCCAGAATCGATTTTCAATTATTAGAACTAACACACTCAGAGACCGGTTTGGGATTATTTGACCTCTCGTCAGTTCAAGGTATTGTCCTTTATCAACACAAAGTCGATGATTTCGCAGGAAAAATTCTGTGAAGAATCCTGCACTGACAACTGTCGGATATAATCCAACGCCCTTGGTGGTATTATTCAGGGAAGTAGTTGTTTTCTGATAGGTGTCAGTCCATGGACCTATTGTGTACGTAAAGGAAACTGGCCTGAACGAATCGTTCAGTCAGATAATTTGATTCATAGCCTGTTCTACCATCACTCTGGACTAACCATTCTGTTGAAGGTCATGCCTAGGTCCTTTCTATCAAAAATGACCTTCAACGGAATGATTACTCCAGAGTGATAGTAGAACAGGCTTTAGCTAGAAGACAGCAAGTGCTCCACAAGGAAGAGAAGCCGCCACAACCAGTATTTATACTTCCCTACATCAGAGGATTATCGGAAAGGATAAGAAGGATTGGGTCCAAGTATAACATCAGGACCTGCTTCAGATCTGGGAACATATTATCATCAAGTACAGGTCAGTTCTATCATATTTTCGAAAAAATAATCAAAATCAGTGAGGCGTCTGGCAAATCTGTTTGAAAAAAATCTGTTTTTCCGTTAATCAGCTGTCGCCCCCATACGAATGAAAACTCTCAGAAGTTGAGAAACCTGTGCGAGCTAAGGACTAACGAGGTTTTACTTATTAACGTGTGATTCCTAACACGTGTGATTCGGTTAATCTTTTTTAATTTTTTTTGACAGGGATTTCAAATCAATTTATAGTGTATTAGACCATGGAAGTCCGAACTGATGAAATAGAAAGCTTGTTGTTATTTGTTGGAATTATTTTTGTGCACAGTGAGAGAAACTGTAAGTGAAAATTGGTTTGGGATGACGGGGACTTATCTGTTCATTGTAGCAAATCTGTACTATACTAAAATAAATGTGAAAGTTGGTGAGGATGTATGTATGTATGTATGTGGCTCTTTCACGTCTGAACGACTGAACGGATTCAGATGAAACTCCACATAAATACAGCTTATACATCAGAATAACAAATAGGCTACAATTTACAAAAAAGTTTTGTGTAATTTTAGTTATAATATAATGATGAGTATTAAGTGAGTCGGGATAGTTTTTTATCCCTGAGTGCTACATCGTTGAAGTTACATGCAGATAATGTACCGTAAGATATTTTATCTCAAATAGTTGTAAAAGTCATAGCATATATCTACCTTTTACCTGGTAGCCACAATATGCAAAATACTGAGCCATGAATACAATTGAATTGGATACTTTTTTTACAGTGCATATTTTAGAATATCTGTCAAATCCTTATGAAAATTGATACAATTGTCGATTTAGGTATTCAATATAGATAAACTTTGTCTCTTACACTAAGCAATTTCAACGAATCGTTTAAAAGTTATCACGATAAGATCAACTTGACGCAACGCAACAAGCCATTACGCGTCGCGTCTACTGTAAAACGACGGGGGACGATGCGCGGGGGGTGGAGAGGCGGTCTAAGCAATGAAACGCCATCGCCGTGAATGCGACTCGAACGCGGGCAGACGCTTGAGGGCAGACGTCGTCGACGGTTGTGTTAGTTTTGTTAATTTCTTTATGAGTAACATAATTCGATTCTCGAAGCTATTAGCACTCTAAATGAAACAAAGGACTCAGTTAAGGTGGCAGTTACTGTATTTTCGAAGTAGAAATATAAATTAGTAGCTGTTGCCCTCTCTTATATTAACGTATAGCCAAAGCTACTCAATCTATAATCTTGAAGTATGCAGGTAGGTTATTTGTATATCGTGAATATGTCCCAAGAAAGGAATTTTCCCTCCGGAGGGGAAAATATAGGTGTTTAAAGATTGTATTGAATTTCGTCAGTTTTGAAGTTGGAAACCTGAAATTTTGGGATGATTAAAACTGTTGTAACTATTTGTTCACGGTATGTCACGGAACTAAATGTGACAAACCAAATTCTACGCGGTCGAAACCGCGGGCAACAACCAGTTCATTGATATTCGAAAAGGTTTTCAATTTCATGAATAAATAGTATTGCTCATGGGCATCTAAGACTTCATGGGTATTATTTAGGAATGGGAAGTTCCTAGTTTATCTAGTTCCACGCAAGCTGATTCTTTCATTTTATTAGATATATCATCAAACTTACGAATATCACGAAGAAAACGCAGACAGCTATTCTGCAGACTTTTCAGAGTTGAGTTGCAGCTTATGAGCTGAAAAGATTCCAGAAATAGCTTGAAGGCAATGATTTATATGTAACTATAAATATATAAACTGTGTGTTATCTGCATAGTGAACATTTTCGAAAAAATTGATAGCAATATCAAATAATGAGCTGACTTTCTGAAACTAGCTTCTGATTTACTAGTCAAAAATCATGGAGAGAGTCGTAAACCACCATATCCTCGTATATTTGGAAGGCTTCAACACCTTGAGCGATCATCAATATGGCTTTCGGAAACAAAGATCAACAGGCGACCTTCTATCATATGTCACCCATATTTGAAATAACGCAATCGGAAAACATGGGCATTCAAGTACATCAGCTGTCACAGAATTATGATCACCAAAAGCAAGCTTGTTTACAAGACAAATTCCGGAACGTTCAAATCCGCGCACTGCGTTGATGGCCACCGCAGTTTTGAGAAAAGCAATCTAGCTACATCGTACTGGTTGATGATGCGGCCGGGGTGAGATTTTTTAAACATGTTGATCTCCTTTTCAAAATACGTTTTCAGTGGGCCATATACAGCAAAATCCATCCAGTATCTGGTGCTAAGGATAATATCACCACATTATTGTTGGTTGCGTACTCAAGTTTCGAATGATATTTGTGATTTGTGTGGATAATAGTTGTCTAGTATTAACAGGAACTCTTTTTCTGATGTTGGCCTCACTTGCCTTACGAAAAAATGCATCCAATTCAAGAAGACTTCGCCTGATGTCCAACCATAAGGAGTACACCTTCCTTGAGTCCATGGCGGACTTCCATCAAGACGTCTTGGCTGCATCTTCTTTCTGACAAAAGTTGAAAAAGGTGGAAGAAAACTACCAACTGCATTACAACAGTAAATGACAGTTGTGAATATAGGACGGAATCAACCTAACTGTGAGGAAGCAATTCCACTTTTGACATGTTGATGTAGTGTAGTATAAGCTAGCCCTTCCCTTCAATCGATTCTCCCGCCAAACACAAATTTATAGCGACCTGCATGTTTTCTTCACTCCAGGATCCTTGTGTTCTTATATTTATACACCATCTGCAATGGAAAAAAAAACACGCTATTAAGTAGGTACATAATTCCATAAAACTGTATAACTTGTCATGCCGGGCAAAGTGAATACGGTATCCACTTTGCCCAATCCGCTTTGCCCTTCAAATACATTTTTGAGGTTATCCCAAATTACTATAAAACTATAGCATCTAAACTCGTTGTCTACGGATAATTGAAAGCTACATAATCCTGCTCATAACAGAGAACATGTTGCAGGTAGTATTATAGTTATAAACGAAACACTTTCCCCTGTAAATTGATATTATTTTTCCAAAAACACACTCTGTCCGGTCGTTGGCGCAGTGCGATGCGAACTAGTCCCGACGTGTTTACCGCACACGGAGCGGCAACTAGCGACCGTTGCTATGACAACACGACGGCCGGCCAACGAAACATTTGGGAGTATCTACTTTACCCGGGTTTCCCCTACATGTCTCCGAACCGGATATAATAATGTCAGGTCTGACAATTCCACTTTTTGCTTCGATGAGTTTGTTGGGGATTATAAAATGGAGATTCACTTTCTTGAAGTGCCGTAATAACTCAAAACAAGTGTTTTATGAAAATATAGAACTGAAACCTCTGGCATAGAATACGTCTGAAACAAGCACTGCTCTCAAATACTCGTCGAACTGCAACCCTCTTCTCAATACATCTTTTACTATCCACGTTGGTGAACTAGTCTAGTTCATCTGATGACGATTCATGATGATGCTTCGAGAATAGTGATGCAATTCTGGTTATATTCTGGCCTAAATAACGATAACGGTTGTTGAATAATGAAAAATGTTCTAATTCAATTGGACTAATACTTGCATTCAGCTTTAGTTGGGATGCTCGTAGAATCCTTATTTCATTAGCACTCGAAAAGTATCGAATAATATATTCAGCAGCTGGTGAGTAGAATTTACGTTGAAGCTGAAATTTACGGGAGTTATGAGATTTGAGTAAGTTTTTAATTGTGTTCTGCAGCTCTACTTTAAGTTATTCCAAGTAAGATTTGGAGTCCAAGTGAAATGACGCCACTGACGATGAAATATGAAGTAGTTGATGATTGAAGAAGTTACTGAAATGGACAAAGTGGATCAAGTTGGTGTAAATTCGATTCGGAGATAGTGATGAATATTTATGGGAAATGCTAGTGGAACAAAAAACTTTTGTTGAAAATAATGATTTTATTGCTGCGATATTTTTCATATTACGCGTTTCACAAAGATCAAACTATTCGATTTGATGCCATAGACTTCGAAAATCGTATATTGTATGTATCTCATTAAATTCCGTTTTTGAACTGAACAATACCGGGTGGCGAAGATTTAACTGCACACTATTGCTCTGGTATATTCATTATACAAAATATGGTAAAACTTCATGGGAATTTTTGTTTGAACTTCATGAGAGCTGCTATAACATGTACTCATTTCATTTGTTATTAAACGTTTTGTTTCCTCAGGACCACCCTCAACAATAGTTTTTCAAATATGAACCTGTTTTTTTATAGCAAACTCTAATGCCTCTCTCAATCCCACTCACATTACTACCCGCCCCAAACTAAATCCCGATAACTTGAACCTCAGACTCTTAGGAGAAAACCTCATACTCCAGGATTCGGTGTCCTACTTGGGGGTCACTTTTACGAAGACCCTCAACTGGGAGGTCGACCTGAGAGAAACTCTGGATGGAGTCCGGAAGAGAGCAAACCTGCTAAAAGCACTGAGAGGCAAGCTCGGGTGTTGCGACAGTAAAATTCACCTACATACTTATAAATCTTTCATCAAATAAGTCCTAGACTACAAAGCGATGATATAATGTACGCTTCCCCCGACACTATCCTACCGTATCCTAACTACTAAGAGAAGAATCCTACGCAACATCCTCAACCTCCCTTACCGTTACCCATCACAAAACTTGGCAGTATCTACCTACGGCAATTCACGAAAATTTTTTTAATTTTTTTGACAATGATTCAAGTACTCGCTGCATCACAAGTGACCCTGCAATAGACACTATGTTTTTTAGACCTGTTAATGTGAATGACGTTAATGAAGCTATTGAATAATTACCAAACGTAAAATCTATAGGTTTGGATGAAATACCTGCATCAGTATTAAAACAATGCAAAGACATATCTACAATACTCGCTCATATTATAAATTTGTCGATTATGCAAGGCAAGTTCCTTTCAAGTCTGAAAATATTTTATTGTAAAAAAAGGGTGATCCTAGTAATATTGAAAACTACCGACCAATTTCATTACTCACTATTTTCTATAAAATAATTGAAAAAGTGGTTGCTGGGAGAATGGAAGCGTGTCTGAGTTCTTTAATTTAATAACAAACAACACGTTTTCAGAAATGGCTTCTCCACTGAATCAAGTGCGGCTGAGTACACTCAAAATTCTTTTAAAAGAATAGATCATGGTGAATATGTGGTATCTGTATTGTTCAACTTAACAAGGACATTTGATACAGTCGAAAGGTCTTTGTCTCAGAAAAACTAGATAAGTTGGGTACTCGTGGCTGCCTTAATGTCTGGTTTCTCTCTATCCTCGAAAACCACAAGATTATAGTAAATTAATGATTTTTTTTCTAATGTATTCGATATTGATCTTGGTCCCCCTCAAGGAAGTGTCCTTGGTCCATTAATTTTACTCATATTCATAACCAGTCTTCCTAAATATTTAACTGAGGCAAAAGTTCTCATGTACAGTGTGTCAATTTGAAAACTTCCCACCCTCAATATCTCCCTTCCAGTACATAATATGAAAAAATGGTCAGACAGGTCAACTTTATTTGCAAGGGGGACACTCTGAATGAATATTTTCAACCCTCGGGGTTCAACCCCCTAGGAGGGGTGGATGTTACCCTCAGAATTTTATCTTTTCAATTTTTTTACAGATCATTTCAGGAATTTCAAATCAATTTATATCATATTAGACAATGGAGACCGAACTTATGAAATGCACAAATAAACAGTGTCTGTTCAGTGTTTCTATCTATTGACTGATTTGAAATATATGCTAGATAGGGAAACTTTATTGAATGTCTGACAGTATAGAAAATAGTAACACGTACGGAATTTTCAAAAGTAGGTTGAAGAAAGTTTCAATAAAGCATTGTTTTTATAGCTCAGGGGAATTTGATGACTTCCTTTCTAGCAGTATTAACTGAGTTCGTAGTGCTTTATGTTTTTTATATTCATATCAAGATGTCTTATATACTTGTTTTCATGTGGCATTAGGTAATATTAACGTTCCATTCTCATCAATGTAGTACGTCCATGTATGCATGTATACAGTGTGTCTCACTTCTCATGGAAACACCCCCGTATCTTCCGTAATATTCGAGGTAGAACGATGAAACTCTCAGGACTGATGGAAATGCTCAAAATGCACCTACCATCTGAATGGGGTTGGCCAAAGTGATATACACTGTCCGTCACTCGCGATGGAACACCCCATTTTTACGGTAAAACATATTAGGGGGCAGCCCTGAAAAATCCGAATTTGTCTCACTTCTTATGAAAACACCCCTGTATCTTCCGTAACATTCGAGGTGGAACGATGAAACTGTCAGGACTGATGGAAATGCTCAAAATGCACATACTACCTGAATGGGGTTGGCCAAAGTGATGTACACTGTCCGCCACTCGCGATATCACTTTGGCCAACCCCATTCAGATGGTAGGTGCATTTTGAGCATTTCCATCAGTCCAAACAGTTTTATTGTTTTACCTCGAATATTACGGAAGATACGGGGGTGATTCCATGAGAAGTGAGACACACTGTATATACTCTATTTTTTTCAATGTAAATGATCGTTTTACCTGTAAACTAGTACTAGTAATTTTTTGTAATAATTGAGTAATTGAGTGAGTTTCACATCTCTCCAGACACATCTAATACATTGTATAACAAGAAAACAATTTCATAAAATTTGATTTGACTCAATATATTTCTCATAACTATTCTCTGAAACTATTGTTTCCGACAATGGTCGGAAAAATACGTACGTTTTTTAGCACATTAAAAATTGCAAAAGTTTTCTAACATTAACACATTAACACAGATTTCGGGTAAATTCATTAATTTTATTGAGCTCCTTAATGTCTTTTGGTTACTTATTGAAGATATTTGAAGTAGAAGTAACCTTATATCATATCATAAGTCAAAAATCATGGAGAGAGTCCTAAACCACCATATCCTCGTATATTTGGAAGGCTTCAACACCTTGAGCGATCATCAATATGGCTTTCGGAAACAAAGATCAACAGGCGACCTTCTACCATATGTCACCCATATTTGAAATAACGCAATCGGAAAACATGGGCATTCAAGTAAATCAGCTGTTACAGAATTATGATCACCAAAAACAAGCTTGTTTACAAAACAAATTCCGGAACGTTCAAATCCGCGCACTGCGTTGATGGTCACCGCAGTTTTGAGAAAAGCAATCTAGCTACATCGTACTGGTTGATGATGCGGCCGGGGTGAGATTTTTTAAACATGTTGATCTCCTTTTCAAAATACGTTTTCAGTAGGCCATATACAGCAAAATCCATCCAGCATGTGGTGCTAAGGATAATATCACCACATTATTGTTGGTTGCGTACTTAAGTTTCAAATAATATTTGTGATTTGTGTGGATAATAGTTGTCTAGTATTAACAGGAAATCTTTTTCTGATGTTGGCCTCACTTGCCTTACGAAAAAATGCATCCAATTCAAGAAGACTTCGCCTGATGTCCAACCATAAGGAGTACACCTTCCTTGAGTCCATGGCGGACTTCCATCAAGACGTCTTGGCTGCATCTTCTTTCTGACAAAAATTAAAAAAGGTGGAAGAAAACTACCAACTGCATTACAATAGCTAATGACAGTTGTGAATATAGGACGGAATCAACCTAACTGTGGAGAAGCAATTCCACTTTTGACATGTTGAAGTAGTGTAACATAAGCTAGCCCTTCCCTTCAATCGATTCTCCCGCCAAACACAAATTTATAGCGACCGGCATGTTTTCTTTACTCCAGGATCCTTGTGTTCTTATATTTATACACCATCTGCAATGGAAAAAAACACGCTATTAAGTAGGTACATAATTCCATAAAACTGTATAACTTGTCATGGCCGGGCAAAGTGAATACGGTATCCACTTTGCCCAATCCGCTTTGCCCTTCAAGTACACTTTTGAGGTTATCCCAAATTACTATAAAACTAGAACATCTAAACTCGTTGTCTACGGATAATTGAAAGCTACATAATCATGCATCATATCCTGCTCATAACAAAGAACATGTTGCAAATAGTATTATAGTTATAAACGAAACACTTTCCCCTGTAAATTGATATTATTTTTCCAAAAACACACTCTGCTTGGTCGTTGGCGCAGTGCGATGCGAACTAGTCCCGACGTGTTTACCGCACACGGAGTATCTACTTCACCCGGGTTTCCCCTAGATGTCTCCGAACCGGATATAATAATGTCAGGTCAGACAATTCCACTTTTGGCTTCGATGAGTTTGTTGGGGATTACGATATACGCGAATGTCTTGGCACAATCACGTTGCTGGAACCGCAAAGGGTGCTTCTCAAAAGCTTGTTCCGAATCAGAAAACTGTACACAACTCAGCAACTTTTGATGCTTTATAAAGCTCAGATCAGACCTTCTTTGGAGTATTGTTTTTATTTATGTAGCTCCGCTGGATTACATCCAGAGGAGAGCCACCTGCCTGATTGTAGACGCGAACATGACGTGCAAATCGAAGAAAGATTGGAGATTAGTCTTCTTCTATAGATACTTTCACGGGAAGTGTTCAAGTGACTGGCACATTTGATATCACCAAGAGCGGTACATATCAGGAATACGCGACGGACTGTGGCTGCTCATCGTTTTGAGGTTATACTCAGTAAACCTCGAAATTCACTGTTTAAGAACTCTTCCATCTGGAGAACTGCCTTTATGTAGAATAAACTTCCTGATAACGTTTTTCCAAATGGGTTTGATCTCCAGCGATTCAAATCTAATGTTAATCGCTACTTTCGCACAAGCACCGCTCTAGTGAGCGCATTGAGGTATTGCTTGTGTAGATACCCATATCACAAGAGTTTATGAAGAACTCATTCTACCGTCTTGCGCGGTCCGCCATTGTGGATTTGGAGTGACGTTATACTGTTTTTCGTATATTCATATAAACCCATTCATTTGATAACCATGTCATAGGAGTGCACAAGAAAAGTAGTGTGGCCTCTTGGGAGGTTCGCCACAAATAATTTGAAGTGACATCATATTATTTTTCTCATTCTTTTCGGCAGACCCTTTCATTTGATAGCCGTACCATGTTGGTGCAAGAAAAATGGAGATTCACTTTCTTGAAGTGCCGTAATAACTCAAAACAAGTGTTTTATGAAAATATAGAACTGAAACCTCTGGCATAGAATACGTCTGAAACAGGCACTGCAGTTCTGGTTATATTCTGGCCTAAATAACGATAACGGTTGTTGAATAATGAAAAATGCTCTAATTTAATTGTACTTTAAAAAAAAGGATTTTTAAAGCGGAGGAAATTTACGAAAAAAAGTTCCTTTCGTGCAAGAAAATAAACTGAATGATGAAAAACCAAATTATTTTCGAATGAACAATAGCATCGGTTGCAAATTGAATCAATGAACGTCACTTCCTTATTTGCGTTATTCATCATGCTTGAAATGGAAAACTAGCAAGAAACGTCAAAAAATGTCTGTTA